GCAAATATTAATATCTTTTTATTTTTCCTCTGCACGACCTTTTAATAAACATATTATTAGAAAATCCAAGGGCCAGCCTAACAGCTCAGTGGGTTAAAGGGCCTGCAGACAGGCACAGGAGCCAGGGATTCGATCCCCGGGCCTGCAGTGCTCGCTCTGCCATGCTGGCCCTGCCCCTGGGGTGCGCTGAGATGGCAATTGAGACAGGGCATAGTGCCCCACACTTGTAATCCCAGCACTTGAGAGGCTGTAAACAGGCAAATCACTTCAATCCAATCTAGTAGTGAGACCCTGAATACCCTGTAGACCCTTCCCTAAAATAAAAAAAAATCCAGTGAATTATCCCCCTTAATTCTATGCATAAATTATATTCTCTAAAAGGCTAGCCTCATAGAGAAACTTGCCTTATAATCTTAACAGTGATTTAAAAACTGATCCTCATTTTGTTCATTCCTGATCTGCTGGCATTGTGACCCTTTATTAATACTTGTTGAGTGTATACTGATATTAATAAAATATTTTAATAAAATTTTCTATACTGAGAAATACTGCACCTGTAGTTGCCAATTTGTCTAGAGGGGGAACTTGGCTGAATATAATCATTATCTGACAAAGGCTACATGACCTTCTGTTTAGTTTTTTGTGTTGTTTTTCACAGTACCAGGGATTGAACTCAGGATCTTGTGCTTGCCAGGCAAGTGTTATTCTACTGAGCTATCTTCCTGGCGACCTTATGTTTAGAAAATATCAAATCCCTCAAATTGGAAATGTTCATGACTATCCCTGGGATAAATCCAACTGCTTTTGTTTGGGATACAAATACAAAAAAAAAAAACGGGGGGAAAAATGAAAAGTAAGGGCCAGCTACATAGCTCAGCAGACTAAAGCAGCTGCTTAGGCAGAGGCAGGGACTGCAGTTTGATCCCTGGGATATAATGCAGACCCCACCCCCAGGGAACACTGAGAGGGCGAAGGAGACTGGGGAGACTGGGGACTGAGCATGGAGGCATGGGCCAGAAATCCCAGCATTTGGAAGGCTGAAAACAGGAGAATCACTATGAGTCCAATCTACACAGTGAGACCCTGTAGACCCCTTACCAAATAAGAGAGAGAGAGAGAGAGAGAGAGAGAGAGAGAGAGAGAGAGAGAGAGAGAGAGAGAGAGAAAAGCTGTCAACAGAATACAACCAAACCACTTTAACAGTAGGCTGGATGAGAACTGGTCAAGCCCTTATGCCATTGGACATGGGGCAAATATACGGGATATCTTTACAATTGGTTCATGTGTAACTTGAAGTTAAAAAAACTAATAAATTCCTACTGACTTACAAATTGTTAGGCTGTTCCCATTACCCAAATATTTTTAAATATTAATTTTCTTTACTCACTATCCAGAAAGCTCCTTAAGTGGGGCTACTTATGTATTAGTCATCTTTATATCACATCACCTAGAGCCTAGTAGATAGTAAATACAGCATTGATCTTGGCTGAGTAAAAGTGAGTCCATACAGAAGAACAGCAAGGCTGAAGGTTGATTTAATACAAAATTAAAACTGAAACTTAATGAACACATTGCCTGAGAAAAAAAGATCATCCCTGGCCGGGGAGATGGCTCAGTAGAATAAGCACTTGCCTGGCAAGCACAAGGGCCTGAGTTCAATCCCCGGTTCCACCAAAAAAAAAAAAAAAAAAAAAAAAAAAAAAGATCATCCCTGTATTCCTACTCTCAGGAGTATGGGTAAAGTTGCCTTCAAGCATAGAGCTCAAAGGAGCTGATATATGTGCTAGTTTCTTTTCAATTGGCTTCCACACATGACCTAATGTTTACAAACTGAGAGTGCTTGCATATGTAGAGCAAAACCCCTGATTAAAATTGATGAGCTGAAGCCACATACCCAGGGAAAGTAGGGAACATCCCTATTTAGTCCACATCACCAAGGCAACAGTTTAGTTCAGCCCAGTATAAAAATAAGCACAGATGTTGATAGTGAATATTCAAAGTATCCTCTATACTTGTAAAGGGCTAGATACAAGAGCAACTTATTTCAGAAATCAGGTAATGAAAAGTTTTAATTTCTGTAATCTGTGTTTACATATGCTTTTTCATCATTATGACTTCATAAGCAATCTTGGTCAATTAACATTATCCTATCATTAAAACTAAAGTTGCAAACTACATGGTGAAGCACACCTGTAATCCCAGCATTCTGAGGCTGAGGCAAGAGAGTCATAAATCTAAGCCCAGCCTGAACATTTCAGAAAGACCCTGTCTCAAAAATCAGAAAGAGTTGATGTAGCTTATGCAGATGTCCTGGGTTCAATCTCTAGTTCTGCAAAATAAAAGTAATAATAATAAAAATAAAGAATAGCAGGCACTGCAGCACATGCCTGTAATCCTATCACTCTCAGAGGCTGAGGTAGGAGGATTACAAATTTGAGTCCAACCTGAGTAATTTATGAATTTACCAAGACCAGTCTCAACATAAAATAATAACAACAACAGGGCTGGAGATGTAACTAAGTGCAAAGCCCCTCAGTTCAAATCCTAATACCACAAAAATAAACAAATGTCTAAAGCTTGGTATTAATATAAATGATACATATATTCTTTTAGAGAATATAAGGAGATATAAAACTCAAGTAGGTTTTCTCCTCCCTCAAATGAGGAAACATGAATTTGAAACATGAATTCTGTACAATAAGCTGGTACAAAATAAAGAGTATCTGTTGATCCCCTGAGAAATGATTTCTAAATGTATGGATGATAAACTATTACACTTTTTATCTACCCAGCACGAGTAGCAAAGCAATATAAGTTGTAGAATATAACCATGAAAAGCAAGGAAAGATTATACATAGAATCTGAAAAAGATAGGAAGTAAAATATCAGGGCATCTCTACAGGATAGAAAACAGACAAGATTTTGACAGAGGCAAGCATTCCAATAAATAAGCCAGGAAAACTTCTCCAAGCCTTATCCCAACACGGATGCAGTATTATCCCAACTTAGCCACTATTGCTATAAATCAGCAAATTTGCATTCTAACTGGGTATTCTTCAAGTCTTATGAGGCGTGTCAATGAGAAAGTGCTTCCTAATCTGGGGGCAGGGTCTACATCTATGTTCACCTATGTTGTATCCTGAGGGACCCAGCTGGAACAACCAGCTGAACAATCTTTTTGCACTATCCATTTCACCTTTCTCACCAACTTGTAACTGTAACACAGGTCACCACAATCTCTTAAATGTCTGCATCCATCTGCAAAATATCACAACTCATATAGTAGTAAACAACCAAATGAAGATGGCTGAGACACTAGATTAATAATAGCAAGGTTAAGAAAAAAAGCCCTGATCACTAAGTAAATTCACAACTCATCTTTTGACTCCCCAGATTACTTTTCTTACTAAAGTAGGTCCACAGTCTTCACAAGAGGAGAAACACATTCTTTGGGGAATAAGATGGGAGCCCAAATCTACAAGTTCTGGGCATCTTGTACTATTTTACTTAACAGAAGCAACTAAAAACTTTGAAATTTAATCTGATCAAGACTGTTTACAGTTGGGCTGGGGAGATGGCTCAGTAGAATAAACGCTTCCCTGGCAAGCACACAGTTCTGAGTTCAATCCCCAGGTCTGAAAAAAAAAAAAAACAAAAACACTGTTTATAGGGCCGGGGAGATAGCTCAGTGGAATAAGCACTTGCCTGGTAAACACAAGGGCCTGAGTTCAATCCCCAGTTCTGCCAAAAAAAAAAAAAAAAAAAAAAAAAAAAAAAAAAAAAAAAAAAGACTTTATATACAGGCATAAAAACAAAGTATTTCACAGTAACAGTCAACAAAATCCAGACTGTGTACAGAAACTTTACAAGAAAAAACAGCTAGATTTTTTAAAAATAATTAAACAATGGGGCTGAAGCTCGAGGCGATGGCACTTGCCTATAATTCCAGAACTCAAGAGGCTGAGGCAAGAGGACATGAGTTTGAGGCCAGCTTGGATTATATAGCAAGTTCAACACCAGCCTGAACTACATAGTGAGATCCTGTTGTAAACCTCACCCCCCCACCCCAAAAAAATAAAAGATAGAGCCGGGGATATGGTTTAGTAGTTAAAGCTTGCTTGGTACATGCAAGGCCCTTGGTTCCATCCACATCAAAAAACAAAACAGTAGGATCTAATTTAAAAGATAAATGGAGGAGGAGGAGGGGAGTTTCTAAGAGACAAATAATGACCAGAATCAACGTACAAATCTTCTTTGGTGCCTAACACAAACAAACCAAGTTAAACTTGGTATGATCACACTATGGTGGCCATATACATGTAGTTTATTTCATTAAAGACCACTTGATTTTTAAAGATACATATAAAGGTAGTCAAAGATGAAATGAGAATGTGTCTGGGATTTGCTTCAAAGTAACTGGGGGGGGGGAGTAATTGAACTACAGATGAAAGATTGGCCATAAACTAAAGCTAAATGATGATAAAGGAAAGCCTGTTATACTATTCCCTATACTTGTAGGTATGTTTGGAGCTTACCATAATGAAAAGTTAAAAAATACACAAACACACACACACACACACACACACACAACAAGGCACTGCTTTGTGCCCTGGAATAAGGGCATAGAATTCCCAGTCTAGCTTCCAGCTTTATTAACTAGACAAATTATCTGGGGTTCCACCAAAAAAAGACAAGTCCAGAGCTGGGGAGATAGCTCAGTAGAATTAAGCGCCTACCTGGCAAGAGCAAGGTCCTGAGTTCAATCCCCAGTACCACAAAAAAAAAAAAAACAATTACAAGTCCATTTACCAACTTAGCCTATATCATTACCCTAAGAAAGGATGCTATGCTGCCTGTTTAGTTACTTACCAGATACCTTTTAATGTCCATGTTTGCTACCTGACTTTAACTTGAATTTAAGAAAAGTTAAAATAATTTTCGAAGCTAACTGGATTTTAGCAACTAGAGTTTATTCAGCATAACCACAGAGACATCGTCTTCATGCTGCCACACACAAATACAAACACATATAGAGCACGATATCCATAGTTTGCCCATGTACATTCCTTCTGAGGCTCATTTATACGTCTTCATGTGCCAGAGCCCATCATTTAAATAATGAATATTTTCAATCCCAATTCCTTTGTTGACTTTTTCACTGTAAAAAGGGGGAAAAAACATATAAATGTATTTTTATTGGTTTACATATGGTAAAAATAATTTACAGTACATTTTGATTTTGTAATTATTGAGCTACTTTAGAGAACTTACTGCTATCACTTCGATTATTGTCTGTATTAAGCTAAATTGCTGTTTTAGTTCATGGTTTAAGACATGGTCTCCCTATGATGTAATTCAGGCTGGGCTTAAATTCACTACATAGCCCAGGCTGGCCTACAACTTAGTGGTCTCCTACCTTCCAAGTGTCTGGTTTACAAGTATGTGCCACCATGCCTGGCCAGTTCGTGTTTTAAAGTGATTTTAACAATAACTACTGAATTCATACAAGCAGACTAATGACATTACAAGAACACCCAAATATCAAACTATTATATTATGCCTGAAAGAATACAACAGGACTTATTTTAGTGATCAAATGAGGTCCAAAGTTTTAAATATAACTGCTGGTATTTTGGTAACATATACTTAGTAGTTCTCTAATATTCCCATTTCTTATACAACTAGATCAGAATAGACGACAAAGGCTATGCAGTGATGAAATAAAACTGTGCCTCTTTAAAAACCAGCAGCAAAATGTTTCCTCCCTCTATTTAAATCGTACTACATAAAAACTGCTAAAGGACCACATACATACATACATACATACATAAACAGCTGTCCTAGCACTGAGTTCTTTTCAGAGTACTTAAGAAAGAATTCAATCCTGAAGGCAAACTAGGTTTCAATAGCTTCCTAGCTGTTAGGAAAAATCAGAAATGAGGCTGTATGCTGAGATATTTATGAGATCAGGTATGAATGATGGCAAATTTCAGTATAATCCTGATGCTTCCTGGGTGGGTTACTCATATCTCGAAAGCTAGGAGGACCTACAGTGACACTTACATATCTTCTGCAGACATCTTCATGACTCCAACACATAGAGCATGCTGTTTACCTTCTGCCATGATTGCCTGAAAATACACAGCTAAGAAAATCATGTATCTCACAAAATGCCTTGGGAAACGGGGTGTCTATTAATGATCACCTAACTGGCTGGTCACTTTGAACCCATCTGTGTCCTCCCCTAGACCACTGAATCTTTGACAATGGGGAGCTAGGAGTATCTGTGGGTATATTGCAAACAATAAATGCTACATGAATCAATCTAATAATCATTCTGCTTTAAAGTTTCAATATTAATATACTTTTTAAAAAATAAAAAACATGAATATACTTTTAATTTTTTTTATTGATACTGGGTCTCTCTTCAGTTTAGTCTTGTAGTGATCCTCCTGTCTCAGCTTCCCCAGTGCTGGGATTAAGACGTGCGTAACCACACTGGGTTTCAGGCTGGCACAGCATGCAGTACTGGGGATCGAACTCAGACCCTTGTACTTCCCAGGTAAGCACTTATGCCACTGAGCTATCTCCCCACCCCTCAATGTTAATATTATAACCCCATAACAAAAGAAACAGAATACATCATGAAAAAAAGAGGATGAAGGCCAGCCACATAGCTCAGTGGACTAAAGCACCTGCTTAGGCAGAGTTCAGCGGCCAGGGTTCGATCCCTGGCATGCCATGCCATGCCATGCCGTGCTGTGCTGTGCCATGCCGTGCTGGCCCTGGCCCTGGGGCACATTGAGACAGCAATTGAGACTGGGCATGGTGGCACACACCTGTAATCCCAGCACTTGGGAAGCTAAAAACAGGAGAATCACTACAAGTCCAATCTACATAGTGAGACCCTGTAGACCCTACAGACCCTGTATCAAATACATTAAAAAAGAGGATAAATTCCTTCAACATAAATACTAAAACATGAAATAAATATTGATTATTTTGGTCACTTCATCGCTGAATGCTGTCCTTATGTAAAGGACACATTAAAATCATAATTACATTCCTATTCTACTTTGAATGTCCTATATAATATAGTTTCAAGCCCCCTAGAACCAAATATACTTGGTTATCCTTTGGAGTTTCTGGGATGCTTAACACCGAAATTTATATTTTAAAAGATAAGGATCATCAGGGTGGGGGCTGGGGAGATGGCTCAGTGGAATAAGCACTTCCCTGGCAAGCGTAAGGGCGTGAGTTCAATCCCCAGTTCCACTAAAATAATAAATAAATAAATATAAATACATCGGGGTGTGGTAATGCACACCTAAATCCCAGCACTGGGAAACTAAGGTAGGAGGATTGCTACAAATTCATGGCCAGCCTGGGCTACACAGTGAGTTCAGGGGCACCCTGAACTATCAGTGAGACCCTTTCTCAAAAAAACAAAAAAAGATAAGTCTCAAAGGCTCAGAGAAACTCTATTATTTTTTTTTTGCAATTTCCTGAAAACTCTAAAATTATTTCAAACTATAAAAAAGACATTTTTAGAGAGGATATCACTATGTAGTTCAGGTTGTCTCTGAACTATGTAGCCCAGGACACACTTGACCTACTGATTCTGTAACTCAGCCTTCTAAATGTGGTCATTACAAGTACACAACACCAAGCCCAGTTGAAACTATTATTATGTTTGAAAAATTGCCAGGTGCAGTGACATATAACTTATGTAGGCCAAGCTACATCAGTCTGAGGCAAGATGACAGCTTCAGCCCAGGAGTTCAAGACCAGCCTGGCAACACAGCAAAACTCATCTTAAAAAAGTCTTGGTACTAGGAAATTGTTTTAAGGGACAGCCCAAAAATGAGTCAACACTTAAATCACAAACCTAAAAAAGTAACCTATCTTCACAGAATATTTTTCTCTGTTGGTTTCCAATTCACCCATTCATTTTTCAATTATCTGCACACAGGTGACTAGTACTGATAGCAACATAAGCTGCTCCTAAAATGTAAGCATAAAACTTAGTCTGCCTCTTATCTATAGCTGCCATAACAGATGATAGCCTCCTTTTGAGCATTAGACATACTCTTAAACCCACTCCAGGAGGATTCTTATTCCATAGTGCTTTCCTCACTCCAATCAAGTATCACTCCTTCCTCAACTTGAAGCAAATGACCTCTCTGGCTATGACAAAGAATACCATGGCCTCCTGTCTAGATTAGTGCACAAAACCGATTTAAACCAGAATATATCTGAACTAGTGCTGCAGAAATAGAAATAATACAGAATTATTCACCTACACAGTGAGTTGAACAGATCCTTAAAAACAACTTGGTGCCAGATGTGGTAGTAAACAACTAACCCCACTTCCTTGGTAGACTGAGAAAGAAACATCTCAAATTCAAAGCCAGACTGATAGCAAGACCCTGTCCAAATTTTTTTAAAAAATAAAAAGGGGTAGGATGTAACTTAGTGGTAGAGTGCCCTTGAACTGGGTCTCCAGAATAGTAAACAAAACAAAAAACATTATTTGGAATGTCGAGATTTCTCTGAGACCCTAAAATAGCACCTTAAGGAGAAGGAAGGTAGTCAAATGGTAGAGTACTTGCCTAGTATGTGTGATGCCCTGGGTTCTATCCCTACTGCCAAGAAAAAAATGAATTGTTAGGTAAGGTAAAGTGGTACACATCCATAATCCCACCTGCTCAGCAGGCTAATGCAGGAGGATCACAACTTCAAGATCAGCCTAGGCAACTTAGAAAGACCTTTCTTTAAGGGACCAGGAAGATGGCTCAGTAGACTAAGCGCTTACCTGGCAAGTGCAAGGACCTGAGTTCAATCCCCACTTCCGCCAAAAAGAAAAGAAAAAAAGAAAGAACTTTTTCTTTCTTTTTTTTTTATTTTAGGGAAGGGTCTACAGGGTGATAAGGGTCTCACTACTAGATCGGACTCCTAGTGATCTGCCTGTTTACAGCCTCCCAAGAGCTGGGATTACAGGCACGTACCACCATGCCCAGTCTCAACTGCCATCTAAGTGCACCCCAGGGGCAGGGACATCATAGCAGGCCCAAGACCCTCTTTCAAAATAAAAATATAGCTGGGCATGGTAGCGCACACCTGTAATTCCAGCACTCAGGAAGGTGAGGCAGGATTCGTCAGCCTGGGCTATGCAGACAGTTCAGAGGCAGCCTGAAGTATACAACAACACCCTATCTCAAAAAGCTCTCAAAATAAAAACATAAAAATATAAAAGACTCTCAGGGCTGGTGAGATAGCTCAGTAGAGTAAGTGTTTGTGTGGCAAGTGCAAGGTCCTGAGTTCAATCCCCAGTACCACAAAATAAATAAATAATAAATAAATAAATAAATAAATCTGTCAATATAGTTCAGTGATAGAGCATTTGCTTAGCATTGCAAGGTCCTGGGTTAAATATCCTGCGCTACTCAAAAAGAATAATTTTAAAATTCTTTTTTTTTTAATTTGATACATGCATAGTCTTGCTATGCATTTCAGACTGATAGTGATCCTCCTGTCTCGGCCTCCCCAGCACTGAGATTACAGGTATGTGCCACCACACCTGGATTCAGGCCAGCAAGGCAAGAAATATTAGGAATTGAACTCTGGTCCTTGTGCTTGCCAGGCAGGCGCTTAAGACCACCAATCTATCTCTCCAGCCCTCAAAAAATAATAATTTTAGCCGAGTATGGTGGCACACACCTGTAATCCCAGCACTTGGGAGGTTGAGGCAGCAGGATCATTGCGAGTTCAAGACCAGCCTGGGCTACAAAGTGACCTCAAGGCCAGCCTGAACTGCACAGCAAGAACCTGTCCTAAAAAGACAGTAATAATAATTTTAAAATAAAAGTTGGAGATTGCCAATATTTCTCACTCCTGATACAAAACTGTGGCTTAGGAACAGAAAAACTAAACGTGCTACCTGTATTTTTTCGGGGGGGAGGGTTACCATGAATCAAACTAAGGACCTTGCACTGGCCAGGCAAGCACTTATTCCACTGAGCTATCTCCCCAGCCCTTTTTTTTTCTTTTCCCTTTTGAGTGTTTCCACTCTACTGTATCTGGATGAATCCCATTCAAATGGCAAGTTGATGTCCAAAAAACTAAGCCAACCATATCACCTGTAGGCTATAAGTAATCAAGAGTTTCACATGGTATCCCAAGTTCAATAACAGGTCTTAACTGGGCTTCAATGCAGCTAGGGTTCTTTTATAACCTTCCTTCTTTTTTTTTAAGTATTATTGAACTCGAGTGTTATGTACATGATAGGCAGGTACTCTACCACTGACTTCCATCTCTAGCCTTTGTATTTTATTTTGAGACAGGGTCTTATCAGATTGCTCAGGCTGGCCTTGAATTTAACATACTCCTTTCTCTACCTCCAGAGTAGCTTTATCATAGACATGTACCACTGTGCCCATCTTATAACTTGTTTTCCTTTAAAACCTATGAAACTCATACTTTAGTATCAATAAATTTAAAAGTTATTTGCTGTTACTTCAAATGTAACCATGGGCCAACAAGATAGCTCAGCAGACTAAGTGCCTGCTTAGGCAAGTGCAGGGACAGGGGTTCCATCCCTGGTATCACATGCTGCACTCACTGAGCAGAACACCAAGACCAGGCGTGGTGGCACATGCCTGTAATCCCAGTGCTGGGGAGGCTGAAAACAAGAGGATCACTAGGAGTCCAGCTGTGTAGTGAGAACCTGTACCAAATACATTAAAAAAAGATTTAAAAATGTAGCCAGGAAGACATTAAGTACAACTAATGATCTCTTGGATCTTCTGATAATGACAAGAATACAATCAATACATTTTTCAGCAGTTAGACTCTAGGAAGGATACAACAATGGTATCTACTGCAGCAGGATAAAGCTTGGCTCCTGGAGAAGTTAAGCCTGGGCACATGATATTTGCTCCACTGAGTACAAATTTGATGGCTCCTTTATCAACCTGCTGGTGTGGCAGGATAAAAGGATCTAGAAGAGAAAAAAATAAATGACGTAAATTAAGAGACACTCAGGATTCAACAAAAAAGGCAAAGGACTTGAGCCAATATTTCTATCAAATTACAGTATTTTCTAAAAGATGGAAAATAAAATTAAAACTTTTATTGATAAATATTTTAAGAAAAGTAATTCCCAGGGCTGGTGAGATGGCTCAGTGGTCTAAAGCACCTACTTAGAACAAGCTAAGCTAAGCAAAACACAGGGACCGCGGTTCAATCCCCCAGCACCACATGCCAGCCAGCCCCGCCCCCTGGTGGGCTGAGCTGGCCACACACACAAAATGAATGGATAAATAAATAAATAATTCTAAAAAAAAAAGTAATTCCCAAAGCTAGCAAAACTAAGAACACTGGGATCCTTCTATACTGTTAGGAGACTTATAAAACAAATATATCTACAAAAAGTCATGCTCATCTATAATAAAACCATGGTTCTGGAGAATACATAATTCCCTGGGAAATGTTCATGATACAATGATTAGTGGACAAAGCCTAATTTTTAAAAACTATCAAAAAGCTTAGTGGTTATTAGAGTGTGGGGAAGAGAAGGATAAGCAGAGCACAACTACAGCAATAAAATTATGCTAACAGTGGACACAACACTATGTGTTTGGCAAAACCCACATGAGCTATACAACAGGAAGAGTGAACCCTAATGTAAACTGTCAATAATGTATAAGCCCTGGCTTATCATTTATAACAACTGTACAGTGCAAGTTACCAATACAAAATATCAGTAACAGGAGAAACTCTGAAACAGAGAGCCCAATTTAAAAAGGAGAAAAGGGTCTAGGGGTGTTGCTCAGAATTGGTGTGTATACTCAGCTTCCAGAAGGCCCTTGGCTCAATCCCTAGCACCTTTTCGCGCT